CCCCCCCCCCTTCCTACACCTCATGCTTTGCCAGTTCCAGAGATGGACCACTTATTCTGGTTAACGAAGGCAGAAGTACCAATAAAAGAAAATATCTGTGGCTCCAGGTTGAAATGCGGGGTCCTTGGTGCACTCTGAGCTTGGGTGTTTTCTTGCAGACATTTCATTACCCAAACTAGGTAACATCATCAGTGCTAGGCAGAGGCTGATTCTACATTTACCATTCCATTTTGTGTGGTGACAACCCCTCCCTCCCAACCCCCCCCCCTTACTAAATGTCTTTTTGTTGGCTCCAATACAGAGAGAAGTTCTATCGCCTTGTTTGGGTAATATGAGTATTGGGAAGTTTGTAATTAAAAATAAATAAATAAATAAAGAGAGGGTTGGTTGAACACATCCTTCTTGACTCAAAAGGAAACAAGGAACGAAAACTTCAAACAGGTGGAGGGAGATTTCTTTCTCTTTCTTTGTATTTTTATGTCTGGAGCCAGACTATTAACTAGATCTTCACTTCAGAAAAGGTGAGGTGACCCTGGGAGAACTTGTTAGAGGTTTATCTACCGAGACAAAATATTTTCCCTATTAATGATTAGCAATAACTTTGGGCACTTGTGGGAAAACTTTAATTAAACTCTTTAGTCCGTGGTGATTTAATTAGGGTTAGGATCTCCAGTCTCCCCAGGGATGGAGATCCCTCTTGTATCTTTTTCATGCTGGAAAAAAAAATGTCATGTCCAGTTCTTTCTTTCAAGAAAGTCTACATAAGGATGAAGGTTAAGATAAGACAGAGTACCAAAAATCTATCACTTAGCCAAGGGAAGGTTGGCAACTGGTTTTTAAGTTTATCCATCAAGGTGTCTAACCCAACTCTTTAACTCTTTAATGCTGGTTGAACTGACCCTCAGCAAAACTGTGAGTATTTGCTTGTATATATTTGGGAACAATAGTTATAAGGATAAGTAAAAGGTTTGAAAGACTGGGAAACAGGCTAACATGTTTCCTGCAGTCAGGTGCCTAAGATATTGGGACTGAAATTCCCAGAATTAGCCCAGAACTCTAGGACCTGTTGTCCAGCAGATCTACAGAGTATAAGATGATGGGAGGCTTAATTAAAATAAGACAATTAGAACACAGTAAATTATTTTAAACTAAAACTTGTGTCTGATCAGGTCAATGTTGCTTATTTTGAACTGGTGATAGATCTTAAGGGATTCTTTTCTCATTCTAAATATCTGAATAAGTCCAGAATGTATGTGTAATGTGTATGTGTATGTGTATATGTATATGTACTGTGTTTTCCCCAGAAGAAGACCCAACTGGAATATAAACCCTACCATGATTTTTCAGGACGCTCGTAATATAAGCCCCACCCCAAAAATAAGCCTCAGTTAAGATTGTCAGCCAGACAGATGCATTTAGTACCGTATTTCCCCAAAAATAAGACCTAACCGGAAAATTTGTGGAGCAAAAATTAATGTAAGACCTGGTCTTATTTTGGGGGAAACACAGTATATGTACAGTATATGTATATGTACAGTATATGTATATGTACAGTATATGTATATATATATATACACACACACACAGTATATATATGTACAGTATAGGCATATGTGCACGTATTGAGAAGCAGAAAAAAGCTTGTGAAAACCTAAGAAATTCCAAAGTGGTTTAGGGATAAGATGTAAACATTGCTAATCTGATTTTTTTATAAGCTGCCCAGAGGCACTAAGAGTGAGTGGGTGGCCGTATACATTTCTAAACAAACAAACAGATGCATCATTATTTTTCTAAATATGCCCTTCGGCTTCAGAAATAAGGGTGGGAAACAAAGTGTCAAAACAACAACAACTCTAGAGCTGTAAACTGTTGCACAGGGGTGTCAAACTGCCAGCCCATGGGCCGGTTGCATCATGTGGACCCCATGCCCACCCCAGCTCCGACAATGGAAAAAAAAGTTGCAATACGTCGCGACATGTCACATGATGCGGCGAATTTGACACTTGTGCTGTATATGAAGTGGAGTTAAACATTTAAGTTCAGCTTTTAGAGTGGTGGAGTACTGAACATCAGTTAATCGATTAAATTGAGATAGACAGCAGACACAATAAAAAGAGAGAAATTTAAACAATTCTAAGCCTGAGGCAGGAATCAGTATGTCTATGGGACAAAGCCTGAAGTTGTGTCCTCAATAGGCAACCTTGAGAAAGCAGAGTCTTGATTTCAATTACATATCTATATTAAACAGCTTAACAACCCATCTTATAGATAGGTATAATGAACATATCACATCTTTTGAAATAATGAGGCTATCTGCAGAAAATAGAATAGAATAGAATAGAATAGAATAGAATAGAACAGAGTAGAGTAGAGCAGAGCAGAGTAGAGTAGAGCAGAGTAGAGTAGAACAGAACAGAATAGTGATTAGGAACAGAACAGAACAGAACAGAACAGAACAGAACTGAACGGAATTGAATTGAATTGAATTGCTGGAATTGGGTATATCTAGTTTAATGAAGAGAAGGACGAGGGGGGACATGATAGCAGTGTTCCAGTATCTCAGGGGCTGCCACAAAGAAGAGGGAGTCAAGCTATTCTCCAAAGCGCCTGAGGGCAGGACAAGAAGCAACGGATGGAAACTAATCAAGGTGAGAAGCAACCTAGAACTAAGGAGAAACTTCCTGACAGTTAGAACAATTAACCAGTGGAACAACCTGCCTCCAGAAGCAGTGAATGTTCCAACACTGGAAGTTTTTAAGAAGAGACTGGACTGCCATTTGTCCGAAATGGTATAGGGTTTCCTGCCTGAGCAGGGGGTTGGACTAGATGACCTCCAAGGTCCCTTCCAACAATATCATCATCATCATCATCATCATCATCATCATCATCATCATCATCATCATCATCATCACTACTACTACTACTACTACTACTATTACTATTATTAATAGAATAGAATAGGATAGAGTAGAACAGAGTGGCATAGAACAGAGTAGAGTAGAACAGAACAGAATAGTGATTAAGATGATAAGATAAGCTTTATTGTCATTTTTTTTTACTGTGGGCACAATGGCACACATCAAAAATGAAATTTAGTTGTCTGCTCTCAAAGTGAAACATATACATGACACATACCTAAACATACTATGTACAACATATGTATAAGACCCACACCCCTACATATACATAACAATAAATATTAAATACTGTCCATCTTGAATATATAACGGAAGGAGGAAGCTTGAGAGTTCACAAGGCTAATGCTGTATGGAATGAAACTATGGCTGAATCTGGATGTTCTGCTACGGATACCACAAAGCCTTCTCCCTGAAGGTAACAAGGAAAACAAAATAGAATGGAATGGAATGGAATAGAATAGAATAGAATAGAATAGAATAGAACAGAATTGGAAGGGACCTTGGAGGTCTTGTAGTCCAATCCCCAGCTCAACCAGGAGACCCTACACCATTTCAGACAAGTGACTATCCAGTATCTTCTTAAAAGCCTCCAGTGATGGAGCACACACATCTTCTGAAGGCAAGCTTTTCCACTGTTTGACTGTTCTCACTGTCAGGAGTTTTTTCTTTAGTTCTAGATTCTGTGTAGGTTTTTATCCCTCGACTGACTTGCAGGCATGAAGCACTGAATGAATATATGTTGTAGACAGAGGATGAACAGTTGGAAAGAAGGGAGGATCAATGAAATAAATCAGGTTGCACTATATTTCAGTAAATACTTATCTTTGATGAAGGCAGTAACATCTTATTCTGCTTCTGAAATATATTTCCTGTCTACTATTGAAGGAAGGAAGTGGGTATGGTGATACGTTAGCAGAGAGGATAGGTTTATATGGAGATAATTTGTCTGGGTACAAATGTTCAGATTTTAGAAGGTTTTTAATCATCTGTTCTCTCTTTAGGTTGAATGGGTGGACTTCTTCTGCAATGGAAGGCCTCAACCAGACAGTGACCCATTTTGTGTTCTTGGGATTGACCAATAATCGGAGCCTGGAGCTGGTTTTATTAGTTGTTTTCTCCATCCTCTACTTACTTATCTTAGTGGGCAACTTCCTCATCATAGTGACAGTGGCTTGTGACTGCTGCCTCCACACCCCCATGTATTTTTTCTTGGGGAACCTCTCTTTCATTGACATCTGCCATTCCTCGGTCACAATGCCCAAGATGCTTTTTGACTGCTTCTTCCACCAGAAAGTCATTTCTTTTGGGGGCTGCGTCACCCAACTCTTCTTCCTTCACTTGTGTGCTTCAGCGGAGATCTTCCTTCTGACCATCATGGGCTATGACCGTTGTGTTGCCATCTGCTACCCTTTGCAGTATGTAAACCTGATGAACATGAAGATCTGCGCGTGCCTGATTGGCGCTTTGTGGGTGGGGGCAACTATCCACTCCCTGATCCAGACTGTCCTCACCATTCATCTCTCTTACTGTGGGCCTAATGTCATAGACAGCTTTTTCTGTGATATTCCTCCACTCATGAAGTTGGCTTGCACGGATATCTACTTTATTGGGGTTCTCATAATATCCAGCAGTGGTCTGATGTCCCTACTTTGTTTCGTGATCTTGATAGCTTCCTATGCCATCATCCTTATCTCACTGAAAGGGCAGACAGCTCAGGGTCGTCACAAAGCCTTCTCCACATGTGCTGCCCACCTACTTGTGGTGGTCTTGTTCCTGGGACACTGTATTTTCATCTATACTCACCCTGCTTCCAGCTTCCCAACAGACAAACTGGCTGCTGTCCTTTACACAATGGTGACCCCTTTCCTCAACCCTGTGATCTACACCTTGAGGAACAAAGAGGTAAAGCATTCCATTAAGAAACTCTGGAATCAGAGACAGATCTTGGCCAGGAGATGAGTTGGCCATCTTCCTTGTGTAGAACAAAATAAGTCAGCATATGGAAAGAGAGAATTTTATGGAAAGATTGATTATGTTCAGGCAGATGAGATATCTTAGTTTTGTACAAGAAGCCCATTCTTCCATATTTGGAGACCCAGGAAGCCTGCTCAGTTTCCATGAATCCATGAAGGTGCTGTAATAAGTGGACAATTCAATATTTCATCCCTTTGGGACATGGACAAGCTAACTGACTAAAGACTATCATGCAAACAGTTGGTGGCAAAAGCTTTAAACTAGGATCCTACATTGCCCTGAAGATGGATTGGATCTGTCTCTCCATAGGCAAGAGAGAAGGAAGAGGCAGAAATAAGAGACCTAAGAGATTACTGAAAGAAGAACATATTTTGGTTTGGTTTTTTTTGCCAACCAAAGAAAATGAACGACTTTGGGTGCTGAACACAATCTTCAGTTTTAACCACTGGACAAAAAGCCACATTATTGGCTTTTAGTAGCTGTGGACCAAAAAGTTGTATTTTAATGTATTAATACACTGTGATATAATTCTATACAATATTGATATACATATTTACAGTATGATTATTTATAATTGGGCCAGCTGCTTTTTAAAATTAGGTTTGCTTTTTTGACATGTATCCCATCAGAATCTAACAATTGTTGACGACTTTCGTACTGTACAATATAATAAATATTTTAAGAAGTTATGGTATAAGCCAGTGATGGCGAACCTTGTAGAGACTGAGTGCCCAAACTGCAACCCAAAACCCACTTATGCATCATCGAGTGCCGGGTGGCCGTGGCCCATTGGCTGGGTGTGGCTGCGGTGGTAATGGCAGACTGGGTGGGACTAAAAAGTTCAGTCAATTAATTCCAACTTTGCAAGATCTTTTTTTTCCTGCGAGAAGTTGAAATTGATTGATTGAACCTTTTTTTTTTTGCACACGGTGGTGGAGGCCTAAAGCGAAAAGGTTTTATAAAACCCAGCTGAAGGCCTAGGACTGGGGCGACGGCGCGCGTGCCCACAGAGAGGGCTCTGAGTGCCGCCTCTGGCACCCGTGCCGTAGGTTCACCACCACTGGTATAAGCAGAAATACGGATGATGTTACCTAGTTGGGTCATGAAATGTCTTCAAGGAAACAACCAAACTCAGAGAACACGAAAGACCACCACCTCCTCCTCCTCCTCCCTCCAAACCCACTACCCTCTAGCACTGATGGTGTTACCTCATTGTGTCATGAAATTTCTGCAAGAAAACAACCAAGCTCAGAGAGCGTCAAGGACCCCACAGCTCCTCCTCCTCCTCCTCTCCACAAATCCCACTCCCTGCTAACACTGATGATGTTACCTAGTTGGGTCATGAAACATCTGCAAGAAAACAACCAAGCTAATAGAGCACAAACGACCCCACAGTTCATTCCTGAGCTACAAATATTTTCTTCTATCAATCTTCTAACTTTCATTGGCATCTTGGATAGCAGACAAAATGTATTGACCTCTTAGCTGGGCAATGTGTGGGGTTGGGGGGGGTTGGGTGGGGAAGAGATTATGATGAGCCTGATTGGCAGTTAATAGCAATTTTGTATTTATTATCTGAGCAACTACTAATAAATGTCGAGAACGCTTAGTTCAGGGGTCTTCAAACGTGGCCCTTTTATGACTTGTGGACTTCAACTCCCAGAATTCCTCAGCCAGTGAACCTGGTTACACCCATTTACTTTGCTCAGAAACCATTTGGGAAAGTTGGGACACCGCAACGGTTGCAAATAATGCCAGTTGCCAAATTTTGACCACTTGACCACGGGGGTGCTGCAGTTGGTTGTATGCGTGGAAAAACTGGTCACGTCACTTTTTTCAGTGCCGTTATAACTTTGAACGGCCACTAAACAAATGGCTGTAAGCCGAGGACTACCTGTATTGTCAATTCATGACATTTAAATATCCTTTTTGAGCTCTTCGTGGCTGCTCTATCCTGTGTTAGTTTGCACTGTATCACTTGCTTCTTCCTTACAGTTGATGGTGGATCCTAAAATGCAGAAGCTATAATGAAGATTCCTTCATTATCAGTTCTAAGGCTGAATGAACTCATTAATCAAAGAGATTCCTATTGGCCTTTCCAAGATTTTATAACGTACCACCCAGTTGTGCATTGAAGACAGGGAATTTTTGCTCCAGACTTAGGCTATGATATAGGGCTAACATACACAACAAAACATGGTTCAATTAAGTGAAGGAAAGAGTGCAAAGAAGAGCAACAAAGATGATCAGGGGACTGGAGGCTAAAACATATGAAGAACGGTTGCGAGAATTGGGTGTGTCTAGTTTAATAAAGAGAAGGACGAGGGGGGACATGATAGCAGTGTTCCAGTATCTCAGGGGCTGCCACAAAGAAGACGGAGTCAAGCTATTCTCCAAGGTGCCTGAAGGCAGGACAAGAAGCAACGGATGGAAACTAACCAAAGAGAGAAGCAACCTGGAACTAAGGAGAAATTTCCTGACAGTAACGACAATTAATCAGTTGGAACAATTTGCCTCCAGAAGTTGTGAATGCTTCAACACTGGAAGTGTAAAAACAACAACAACAACAACAATAAAGTTGGAAGGGACCTTGGAGGTCATCAAGTCCAACCCCCTGATCAGACAGGAAACCCTATACCATTTCAGACAAATGGCTGTCCAGTCCCTTCTTAAAAACTTCCAGTGTTGGAGCATTCACAACTTCTGGAGGGAGGTTGTTCCACTGGTTAATTGTTCTAACTGTCAGGAAATTCCTCCTTAGTTCTAGGTTGCTTCTCTGTTTGATTTGTTTCTATCCATTGCTTCTTGTCCTGCCTTCAGGTGCTTTGGAGAATAGCTTGACTCCCACTTCTTTGTGGCAACTCCTGAGATATTGGAACACTGCTATCATGTCCCCCCTCGTCCTTCTCTTCATTAAACTAGACATACCCAATTCCAGCAACCGTTCCTCATATGTTTTAGGCTCCAGTCCCCTAATAATCTTTGTTGCTCTTCTCTGTACTCTTTCTAGAGTCTCAACATCTTTTTTACATCGTGGTGTCCAAAACTGGATGCAGTATTCCAAGTGTGGCCTTACCAAGGCATTGTAAAGTGGTATTAACACCTCACATGATCTTGATTATATCCCTCTGTTAATGCAGCCTATTATTATTATTATTATTATTATTATTATTATTATTATTATTATTATTATTATTATTATTATTATTATTATTATTATTATTATTATTATT